GCATTTTAATTTCATTGCACCTTAGTTTAATCAAACTAATCTCTCTCTTTGCAATCTTGTGATACATTAGAGTTGAAGTTAAATTCCAACACGTATAATCCCTTAGAACAATCCCTACTCACTCTTGCTACTTTAGTAGTAGTGTTGGTAATGGTTTTTATAAATTTAAACTTGACCCGAAAGGCTTTTCTTGAACCACACATTCACTACATCAATTTGGCGTGTAGGAACGGCTTTAGTCGTCAATTTTCTTAGGTCATAATGACTGAGACTCTTGATCATGACCATAGAAAATCTTAGGTCATGATGGTTGAGAAACTTTCTTCAGCCTAATGGTCGATGGACCTCCATCAGCCTAGTGATCGATGGGACCTCCATCAGTCTAATGGTCGATGGAACCTCCGTCAGCCTAGTGATTGATGGAACCTTCGTCAGCCTACTGATCGATGGGACCTCCATCAGCCATACCTCCGTTAGTCTAATGGTCAATGGAACCTCCGTCATTGTTAGCCATGAGCTCAACACCTTATCTCAGTTCTAATGACCTTAAATCTAGACCTTAATTCCGACCACCATGATTAAAAATTAATTGTTCCCCTCGACGATCATGGGCTGATCCATAGTTCAGATCTCGGGTTGTTCGACCACGTGGCATGATTACTTTGAATAATATTTTAGGTGTTAACAATTGTTAAGAGTTAGTGATTTAGGACTCTTGTGCTGAATTTAATTAATTTGTTTGAGAGGGGTGATAAATTCCATTACATTATATTATGGTAACATCATATGGTGGGATTCACTATCACATTCACGCAAATAAAATTCGATCTTTAAATCATTATTCTATTACTAATAATGTACATCTTTTACTTATTTTATTTTTAAAATTTTTTATTTGGAACAATTGTGGTATTGGACCTCTTAGGTATCTAAAATTCGGCCCTTAAATCATTATTTTATTGCTATTCATGTCCGTCTTATATATAATAAGCCTTTTTTTAAAAAAAATTATGTCCATCTTTATTAATATTTTTTTGAAACAATTGTGATATCGGACCTCTTTGAGCACCTAATAATTTACCATTAGGCACATGTAGTCCCGTCTCATCGAGTAGATTACTAGGAAAATCATGTCCAACGATCTTCCATTTATAAGTACTTTGCTTAGTGGAGTAATTCAATACATACATACATGATACATATATTTATATATACACACATACACGCACTAATAAAAACGCATCTGTAATGCACATGAGTGACAAATCAATGTAAAACACACTGCACTCAGTATAAATACAAAGATAAATTTAATCGTTAAAAAAATAAATTTAGGATTGAAAAAAAAAAGAACTTAAAAAACTAAATATAAATAAAAAAAATTAATTATTACTATTATGTTTTGATTGTTATAACTTATAGGTTTCTAAAGAGTTCAAAATTTACTGTAACTCTTGTACAAAAATAATAAGTAAACCTAAAGAGTCCAAAATATAACTAAAGAATAAAAAATAAAAAAAAAGATTAGAAACAAATAATAAATATAACTAATGATGATTTGAAATTATTGACACGGCTTGTACTTTTAATAATAGTATATATATATATATATATATATATATATATTTCTCTTTTTGATATGTGAATGAATTTAAAAACCTAGATTGTATTGATTTGAAAATATAGATTGAATTAGTTGTACGTACTTCTAATACTCTTGATTAATAACAACAGATTATAACTTTTTATTTTATTTATTTATTTATTTTTTTCTCGAGTTTCAAAATCTTGACCTATATGTCAAAGGATTAGGAGATATTGATGGAATGTTGATCCAAAGTTTTGCTACTTATTAAAATAGTTTTGACTAATTAAATTTCTGAGAGAGACGCATGACACAAACATTTTCTAGAACTTTATTTATTTGGAAATGAGTTTTTAAATCAAAATAAAAAACAAAAAAGAAGTTATATCATGAGCTTCGCAAGCACCAGGTACATCCAACTCTTGATTAAAATCAAACAAAACGTTTTAATCAACGTCTTCTAGATTGTTTGATCGAAATGGACCCCATCAAACGATCTTTAGATCATTTGTTGTTGGTCCTCTGATGGCAATGTGTTGTGAATTCATGCACAAGGATTAGATGAATATCATGAATTCAAGGTGAGTTCGTAAAACAATGTGCAATTCATTACCCCACAATAAATTATTAAATGCTGTCGTCCCCTCCAAGGCCGCCGGATTGATGATCATTGAACCCGTCGGACTTCAATTGGTTAGGGCTCAGAACCGGATGTACTCACTCATACCCACCATTAACGGTCAATTAAGTCGTTAATTACGGTTATGAATTTCTGTTTAAGATTGGGCTGGTCCCTTGCTCCCTTTATTGCGCCCTTGTCGTCCCTCTTCTTGGGCTTGTGATGGCCTAAGGCCCAAAATGTATTTTCTTCACATGTATATCAGTCGTTTAACCTTTTGAAAAAAAAAAAAAAAAAAAAAAACAAACAATTTATTACATGTTTCAAGATTATTAGACTTTTTTTTTACATGAAATTACTTAGTCTCTAGCTATGTATATAATTGTGATTATTTTAGATCATATAATATATATATATATATATTTTAATATTATCTGGTGTTTACATATACTTGTGAAATTATGATTGATCAGAATTAGATAATTAAATAGTTCCACCAATTATTACATAATACTTAAATAAAAATTTAAAGGGTAAATTGCATTAAACCCCCATTTCTATTTGCGTTTTGCACTAAATCATCTTCTTCTTCTTTTTCTTTTTTTGCCAAAAATCCTCTCAACTATCCTAGGTTGACTTTGCAAATATTAGTAGGGAATTGAAATATAGTATGGGTTAAATAGTTCTAGAATAATGTAATGACGATAGTCAAGTTCACGTTAGTCACATGAAATGAATATATTTTTTATAGAAAAAAATATTTTTGAAAATAAAAAAATAAAAAGAAAAACAAGTAGGCATAAATAAAATAAAGTAAAAGGAAAAATATTTAGGAATTATTTCTCGTAGTGGTAGAAGATGACTCCCTTTAACAAATATGTATAAAATGAATAATGATTGATCAGAATTAGATAATTAAATGGTTCCACCAATTACTACATAATACTTAAATAAAAATTTAAAGGGTAAATTGCATTAAATCCCCTTTTCTATTTGTGTTTTGCACTAAATCATCTTTTTATTCTTTTCTTTTTTGCCAAAAATCCCCTCAACTATCCTTCGCTGACTTCGCAAATATTAGTAGGGAACACAAATATAGTATGGGTTAAATAGTTCTAGAATAATGTCATGATGATAGTCAAGTTCACATTAGTCACATGAAAAGAATACATTTTTTATAGAAAAAAAATATTTTGAAAATAAAAAAATAAGAAGAAAAACATGCATGCATAAATAAAATAAAGTAAAAGAAAAAATATTTAGGAATTATTTCTCGTAGTGGTAGAAAATGACTCCCTTTAACAAATATGTACAAAATGAATTATGATTGATCAGAATTATATAATTAAATGGTTCCACCAATTACTACATAATACTTAAATAAAAATTTAAAGGGTAAATTGCATTAAACCCCCTTTTCTATTTGCGTTTTGCACTAAATCATCTTATTCTCTTTTTTATTTTTTTGCCAAAAATCCCCTCAACTATCCTGGGCTGACTTCACAAATATTTGTAGGGAACTGAGATATAGTATGGGTTAAATAGTTTTAGAATAATGTCATAACGCTAGTCAAGTTCACATTAGTCACATGAAAGGAATATATTTTTTATAGAAAAGAAATATTTTTGAAAATAAAAAAATAAGAAGAAAAACATGTAGGCATAAATAAAATAAAGTAAAAGGAAAAATATTTAGGAATTATTTCTCGTAGTGGTAGAAGATGACTCCCTTTAACAAATATGTATAAAATGAATTATGATTTATCAGAATTATATAATTAAATGGTTCCAACAATTACTACATAATACTTCAATAAAAATTTAAAAGGTAAATTGCATTGAACCCCCTTTTCTATTTGCGTTTTGCACTAAATCATCTTCTTCTTCTTTTCTTTTTTGCCTAAAATCCCCTCAACTATCCTGGGTTGACTTAGCAAATCTTAGTAGGAACTGAAATATAGAATGAGTTAAATAGTTCTAGAATAATGTCACGAGGCTAGTCAAGTTCACATTAGTCACATGAAACGAATATGTTTTTTTATAGAAAAAAAAATATTTTTGAAAATAAAAAATAAGAAGAAAAACATGTAGGCATACATAAAATAAAGTAAAAAGAAAAATATTTAGGAATTATTTCTCGTAGTGGTAAAAGATGACTCAATTTAACAAATATGTATAAAATGAAAATCAATAAAAACCAAAGAAATGAATACATAATATAATTCTCAAAAATAATAACAGATAAATTTCAAGGAAAACTCATATTTATTCAGGTTTGAAAGTTAAAAATGAAAATATAGTATAAATAATATTTAATGGTACATGTTATCTAAACCATTATTTTATGATACATATTATATATAATAATAATATATAAATATATATATATATATAATTGGTAAATAAAAGAAACTGAGTAAAAAAAAGAATACGTGCCCAGGAATGGTGAAGGATATGCTACTAAAAGTGATAATGAAGTAGATATATACAAGAGGGTTTATATGAAGTAGGTACAATGACATTTTGGTTTTATATATATATATATATATATATAAACTCAATATCCAAAAAATAATACTAATATAGCGCAAATAAAAAAAATAAAAAAAAGAGTTCACTCAAATCTAAATAAAACTGATATATTTCCGTTGAGTTCTGATTGATCGAGCGTGGTGAAAATTTCTCTACCCATCTATTCCACGCAAGCGACATATGACCCGAATCATGTCAGCAATTTTGGATTTGCCGCTTCCTAATCAGACACCTTCCCTCGGTTCGCTTATAAAACCCCACCCGTCCCACAAACCTCTAAGCCACCAGTCTACCACCACCAAACGTCGCCTGCTCTCTCTCTCTCTCTCTCTCTCTCTCTCTCTATATATATATATTAATAATATCTACACCGAAGCTCCGAATAATAACAGAATCGATCTCCATCTTTCGCTACTTAGGTATGTGTTCTCTCTCGCTTGATATGCAACTCTTTCATATTCAACTTTTTTCAATTCAAAATCGAATTTTTTTATTTTGTTTTTGTGTATATCTGTATGTGGTTAGCAAATTGATCTGACGTTTGATATTGCACTGGAAGTGGACGAGAATCTAATTATTTAATTTTGCAAAAATTAAGCTTCTTTCTCTGTATCTCCCATATCTGTGGTCCTCTGTAGCTTTGCATGCTTTAAATCTTCCTAAAGTTTCATTTCTCCTTTAACTTCGTTTACCATCTGTCTTTTGTTTGGTTTCCAGGAAAATTGAGGGCCCGAGACAAAAGAAAATTAGTCTACGATAAAATTACTTAAACAAAAAATAATTTTTTTTTGTATGTTTTCGCTTTTAATTATGTCTAAATGTTTCCTGGAAGGTTTTGATATTTTTGCTATCTACCTTACTTCTCTTTTAAATGATAAATAAAATTAATAAATAGTGGAACATACACTTCATGGACCAACCACAGGTTGATGCAAGTAAAAGAGTCCCATATCAATTTTTTTTTGAAAGGTGAGTCCCATATCATTTTGGCAACATAAATATATGGAGAAAATAAGAAGCTTCACCAGATAGTCTTAAAAAATGTGTAAAATATTGATAGACTTATTATTTCCCCCCTTTTAAGATCATCTTTGATGGAACTGGGATCCCCTCTTATGGAGCTTCATCCTGTGCCGCTGTCTTATGCTATTCGTTGTTTATGCAACAACTCAGATCACTCATACAACAACTCCACATCGCTTATGTAACAACTTCGTATCATTTACATCACTTATACAACAACCATATTTTATCGCTTGTGCAACAGCTACTTTGTTAAGTATATGTTGCACTAGCAATTTAACTGGAGCACAAGACGGCGGCATAGGAGGGGATCCGGGTTCATCTTTGATGTCCATGTGAATAAATTGTTGTCAAATTAACTTTCGTTCTGTTTAATCCTTCGCAACCTGAGATTGTATTAGCTACTAACTAGATGTATATATTTGTAACCGCTGAAATGAGAAGTACAAGACTGTGCATGGAGGAAAAGAAAAGGAGCAGTGAGAAGCTTAAATAATCATTTTCTAAATTAAGAAGAAAAAAAACAACAAGAGCTATGTTGTGTTTAATGGTCTAGATATGGTTGTTATATCTCATTCAATGAGAAGCATAGACTTGAATTCTGATTGATCTATTTAAATTTATAGAATACATTAAATTTCCGTCCTACCTTATTAAATTTTTAGTTGGGTAAGTTGTTGAACTTTGCTTGGAAGCTTCGGATTACATATATTTATCTATATACACATATTTTGATTTTTTATTTTTTATTTTTTTATATTTGGTTTCATGCTTAACCCAAGTCTAATCTGCAACATTTTTCGCTCAGTATTAAAGTGATGCACTAATGCAATATTATTACGTTACTCGTTTTGAGACATTTCATATGGAAAAATGATTTTGTAATCTAATAAAAATTGCAAAAACATTGTGGGAACCTGGACCCCATACACAAATACTATTGGTACTTGTCATTATTTATCTACCCAACGATTTGTTCCATTCAATTATTTTGTTTCCTGTATTCATTTGACATATTAGGCAAATTATCTGTCGGTGCTTTTGGCCACAAATCAAGCAAAATAAATTATATAACGTTCTGTGCTTTTTGATTTCTCTGACTTCCAAAATCGAAACCCATAAAAATTATATATTCCGACAATTGGTAGCGTATTTTTTGTGATCATTGAGTTTGTTTAAGGATGTTCTGGTGCTCAGATGAACTACCAAGTTTAATTTCATACAAATAATTGAGGTTGTCTCACTGTCTTACGTACATTATTATGTAGTTATGAAATCAATTCTCAAGCACTCACCTTCCTACTCATTTATTGTGTTACAGAATTAGAGGAGTGTAGCTACATTAAACTGTGCGGACAGAAGAGCATGGCTCTTGACCATTACTTAGCCAAGGAATGGAAGTCCATATCAGCTGCAGCCTCAGACTTGGACAATAGTCCTGGCTGCTTCGATTGCAACATATGCTTGGACTTTGCACATGACCCTGTGGTTACCCTATGTGGCCACCTCTACTGTTGGCCTTGCATCTACAAATGGTTCTACTTCCAGAGTGATTCCCTTGCTTCAGAAGGGCACCCACAGTGCCCGGTTTGCAAAGCTGAAATATCCCACAATACGGTTGTCCCCCTCTATGGCCGTGGCCAAACCCCGCCTGAAGCTGAACTCGACGCCAAGGCATCCCCTGTGGAGGTGGCTATACCCCCAAGGCCACCTGCTTGTGGTACCAAAATTCTGACCTCTATGTCTCAACATAGTCAGCAGCTTGAATATCATAATCCTTATCAGAATCAACAATACTCCGCTCATCCTTACAGCACTTACGAAGAAGATTCTGCACCATCACCATATAATCTTGGGATGTATGGAGAAATGGTTTATGCGAGGGTGTTTGGGAACTCGCAGAGCTTGTATACATATCCGAATTCGTATCAATTGGAGGGGAGTAGAAGCCCAAGGTTGAGAAGGCAGGAGATGCAGGCTGCCAGGTCTCTAAACAGAATTTCAATTTTCCTCCTTTGTTGCTTTCTTCTGTGCCTTCTCCTTTTTTAATTGCGGATTAGGTCTTTCTTCCTCCCTTTTTTGTACCCTGTAAAATATAATGTACTGTAAGGATCATGAACAACAAACTTATAGATGACGTTAGATGATATTATAAATTTTGTGAGCACGTTTCTTAACAAATGCAACTACATTTGTTGGATATGGTTCATATCCAACAAATGTGTGTGGTTACGCTCTCTTAGGCTATCGGTATGGACATGCCAGTTTAGTTAGGAAATGATCATGGTTTGGGGCTAGCCAAATGGTGTACTCCACACAAAAAAATGTTTGCAGATATGTTGACTGTGGTTAGTCTGCTACTCCATTTTTCGATTGTAAACTTTTTCGACTCATCTTCATTGTATGTAAATTTGTTCTCCTCTGTTTTCAATAGTGTCATTTTAGTGTGCCTTGCATTATCCGGAGTTGGCCCCAGACTTGAAAAGGTAAATTGAGAAAAATGAAAGTGTTTTGAAATTAGAATTGAAGAGAATTTAGTTTAAAGTTTAAATTATTAGTATTTTTTTTTTTAATTTCAATTACAATACATCAATTTCATATATGCAACTGAACTTGAACATTTTCCATCACCTTCAAAAGTTTTTTAGGCTGAATAGTAGAAGGATAGAATTCTTCTACCTCACAATCCTCACTGTATTATTATGGAGCCTTGGCAACTATTATTGGCAGTTATTTTTACTTAAAATTTTTGTGAGTTAAAATGTTTTCTATTTTATTTTGGCAAATGTGAAAGAAAAAAAGAATTAGTAAAAAGAAAAACTGGAAGATGTATGTTTTTTAATGACTTCTTCCAATTTGACCACTTGAACTGGTATTAGAAACGCCTTGTTTTTTTTTTTGAAAGTTTCGTTGCTCCTATTATTGTCTTGGTTCACAGCAAAATGACATGTTGGAGGTAGTAAATCCCCTTCTGCTCTGTTGATAAATTACTGGTTACAAGTTACATACTACCTCACTTATACAACTAATCAACAGAAATATTTTAATAAAATAAAGTTATTAGCTTTTTAATAAGTAATTTATTAGACTATTATGGATCACTTTGTTTTAATAGAATATTTTTATTGATTAATCGTATCAATGACATAGTATATCAATAATTATTAGGAGGAAATTTTGGTCCCACATTCTAATGCCGACGTTATGTCAGCATTAGAATGTGGAACCAGAATTTCCTAATATATATATATATAACTTGAAGACCATAATTGTGTCGGCATTAGAACGGGGGATCACTTGAAGACCATAATTGTGTCGGCATTAGAATGTGGGATCAGAATTTCCTAATATATATATATATATATATATAAAGCTAAAATGACAATTGGAATCCAGAATGAATGATCCGTCACCAGTGATAAGGAGACTCTTAAAGTCTCTGTGGTCTCTTTCGTGGAGTCTCTCACTTGTAGAGTCTTTAATTTCTTTCAGGAAAACATTGGTGGAAAGGATGTGGTTTGAATAGTTTGCTATTTATTTTCTTTTCTAGGGAAAATTCTAGCCATCTTTGACGGGAATGAGTCCTTGACTCCTTGTTCTATATAATAAGTGGAAAGAAGAAGATAGTCCGTGGTTGGACTTTGTTATATGTGTCAGTGTGTCACTGTTACCTTATATATATATATATATATATATATATATATATATATATTCTATTTGGTACATATAATTCAACTTATGCCTTAATTTTTCAATAATTTTCCATAGTATGAGTCGGTTAGATGTCCTAATGATATAAAAAATGCATTAAATATAAGACCGGAAATTAAGCACAAATATCAAAGTATTTCGAAATCAAATCTTGAACTTAGACAACGCATTATTTTGGAGAAATTCTAGATGATCATTGATCACAATGTTTTGGCTCAGAATTGTCACCCCATCTCTATTTTTTTATTATTTTTTTGACACACTCCATCTCTATTTACTTGCCTTTAAATATCAGGTCTCATATGCACCGAGTAGTAGTGGCAATGGATTGATTGAGCGAATTTTGAATGAATCACAAATGAGTCGGTTATGAATTAACTCGTTCATAACAGGTTAAAAAAAAGTTGAGTATCAAATGGACAGCTTAATTATTACATTATCTATTGACCCGCTCACATTATAAAAAATGTCAGAGTATCAAGTTCCACAATAACCAACCGAACACCCATATGCGGTACGTATATTGGGTGTCAGCGTGGCGTGTCCTCTTGTTCCGAGCATAACAAAAAAATTATATTAATGATAAATTGTCAAGATGTGGCATATTGGAGTATTGTGTTTCAAATGGGGCCTAAAAACTAATCGAGAGAACTTTTTATTAGGTGTTTCTGTTTAATTTACTACTATAAAAAAATCATTACTTACTGTGTTTTCTTAACATTTTTTTATTATTTTTTAGAATCAAAATATGAAATTTTTAAAAAGTATTTAATAAGAGTTAATACCTTTCGAAGTTAAATTACCTTTATGAACTCCCCCACCCTCCCTCCCTCCCTCCCTCCAACACGTCTTTTATTTTCTCAACTAATATTATAAAAGTATACGTTTTCATGGACTTTCAAATATAGGCTTATCTCTAATTTTTTAACATTTTTCATTATTTTTTTAAATCAATCAATCTATATCCATATTATAAAAGGGTAAAGTTTTTTGTCTAATTTCTTAACATTTATTATTATTATTTTAAATCAAAATATGAAATTTAAAATTATTTAATAAGAGTTAATTTCTTTCATTATCTTTATTAATTTATTTCTTAATAAAGAATTAAGAAACACGCTTTTAATTTAATCTCTTCATCTTCTGAAAGAGAAAATGAACAAAGCCAAGAGTAATCAAATAAAAAAATGATAATAATTAAGATTACGGTAATAGTCGAAACACTATTCCATTTATATATAATTTTTTTTATTTTGATATAACAATATATTATATATATAAGCATGTAAAAGGCTATAATCTAAATTTTTAATATAACAATATATTATTTATTTCTTGATACAATTTATTATTTATTATTTTGATATAACAATATATTATTTATTTCTTCATATAATTTTTTTTTTTTAATTTTCGAAAGTGTTATAGGATGAATAGTAAAAGCCTACAATCTTTATTAAGTTATTAGTTTGTCTAACAATGCCAAACTTTCTACTTCAATTTCCGTACAAGTCCTCAAAGCCAAACCTTGGCAATTATTCCAGAAGGATGGCGACACCCACTCTCATCAATCATTGTCCTCGTCCCAAAAGAATAGAATTGGTCCATTATAGTCTTAATAGATATAGGATTTGAAGTATAATATTATACTCATTTATATTATATTATTAATATTCGTATACGTGGTAATAAAAATAATTATACATTTTATCCGACTAAGGTTTGAATTCACACCTGATTGTAGAGTGAGGTACGTCCAAGAGCGCTTTCCAAAAATTGAATCAAAGAATCGTTAGTAAATTGTTTGGCCTGCTTAAATAGTGCCTTAAAGATTTTTTTGAATAATTTTTTTGTTTTTTAAAAAATATGGAGAAAAATAATTTTTTTTTCCTTTTTAAAGTTTTCAATATTCTTACTAACATTATAGCCGTTTTAGGCACTGTCTAGCGAACCCAAACAGTGCCTTAACGACTATATTGGCACAAAAATATATTTTTTGAATTTTTTTTTTTTCAAAAAAAACTTTTCGTTTTTCTCTATAAATACATCAACCCGGCAACCCCTACTATCATTCACCTCATATCCAACCCATTTATATTCTCTACTCTTCAACATACAACTCCGATGATTGTTGTTTTTTTACTAGTTGATTTTAATAATGGTAATGTATTATTATTATTATTTTTAAATTCATATCGTATTGTATTGTTTTAATTTTTATAATTCATAATAAATATTATATTTTTAAAATTTTTTGTATGATAAAACTGTTAGAAAAAAGTTAAAAAATAAAATTTCTAAACAAATTAAAAAATATTAAAATATTAATATTTTTGTAAAAAGAAATGAACTATTGGAGTACATGCGATAACTAAAATTTAGAGACTCTAAAACGATAACGTGGCTCTTGAAAATACTGACGTGGCCCTCGAAAAATATTGACTTAGCAAATTGGAGGAGTCAATTTTTAGAGATTTTATTGGAGTTGCTCTAAAGACTCTCATTTGAGTCAAGCGCAGGACAAAAAAGACAAAAAAAGTAGTTTTTGAGTTGTGTCTGGACCAAACATGCCCTTAAGATAAAAGAAAGAAATGGCGAGTACTGGGTCGAACGGGCTCTTTAGAAACCAAGAGTTTGGACCTATCTAGCTCCCCAAACTTGGGCTGCATACTCATAGAAATGGGTTTTCAAGAGTTAAATATATATATATATATATATATACACACACACACACAGCTAAAATGAAGAAATTGACAACCTCATAAGACTGGCATCCCAGAATTCGTCACCAGTGACAAGGGAGTGTTTTAAAGTCTCTGTGGTGTCTCTTTCTTGGAGTCTCAGCAATTTCTTTCAGGAAAACATTGGTGGAAAGGATGTGGTTTCCATGTTTTGCTATTTAATTTTTTCTTTTCTAGCCATCTTTGACGGGAATGAGTCTTTGTTCTATATAAGTTGAAAGAAGAAGATAGTCCGTGGTTTGATTTGCTTCTCTGATATTTTATTATATATATATATATATATATATCATGTTTGGCTGTCAAAAATTCTTACAAGGCCAAAGTGGTTTTGGTACATGACTTATTTTTTTTTTTGTGGATAATTTCACCCCCACTAATTTGATAAAATATCAGTCTAAAATATCTTTTGAAAATAACCATCACTCACGTTACAAACGTTTGCTCCGTTTTTCACTCACACCCCAAAAGTTAGTTTGCAGGTGTGTCAGATCACTTTTACATGTAAAAAGATATTTTTACCCTTTGACTTTGGTTTGACCCTTGACTTTGGTCTACCCTCATTTTTTTAATTTATTTTTTTACAAAATATCAGTATTAAAAGACAATATGGCCCCTTAAAAATTTGCAAATTTACAAATTATATTATATATATAGGCAGACATATATATACTCCTATATACATATATATATATATATATATATATAGACGCACAGACATATATATATATATACACACACACACACAGACAAGCACAACACCACCACCAATCGCCATCGATCGCGGTAAAGAGGACTTCCAACACGCCGTGACTGCTCTCCTCAAGAAGATGTCGATCGGCGCGTGTGGCGCAATTCCAGCGACGGGGTGCTGAGCTTGTCTTTGCCATGGTTTGAGTCCGATTCGGATTCGGATTCGTCTCCGGTGGGGTTTGTTGGGTTTTGTGGGTCTCGGTGGCAGCTATCATTGCCGAGTTTGGGTTTGATTTACACCACCATCAACACCGGTG